GAGCCCGTCTTTTTTCCCCTTCTCCCAAAACAGCTTATACTACTGTTTCAGCTATTAAAATAGTTCAGTTTTGTAGTTCAGGACGTAGAATATAGTAATGCAGAATATGTGCTTTATAAGTACTAATAAACAGTCAACATGTTAATAATAGGCATGATAAGCAACTAGTTAATAATGAGAATTGGTCCCTATACTAAAGTGTTACCAATTTATAAAAAAAAAAAAACATAATACTACCAATATTAATAATAATAACAACTTATTAGTATTACTATTATTATTACCCTATTTTAAGTTCTGTCAGGACCACTATCGTCAAAGATGATTGACAATTAGCATACAGTTTGGATTGGCGGTATGGTTCTGTTCTGGGCAAGAACTCCCTGCGCATCCATGCAGCCTAGCATGGATGAGAGCAGGGAGAGCAGCGATAACCCCCCAAAACAAAACCATATGCTGATATCCCCCAACACAAACTGATAGCAAAATCTCAAAGCCTTAAGCAACAAGCATGTTGCCCTTAACCAATGACCAATCAAATATGTTGCCAAAACCTGCATAACCTGTAGCAACAACTCTGTTGCCTTTAACAGTTGACCAATTAATATGTTGCCAATACCGTAAAAGCTTAAGCAGCATTCTCAATAACACCAGCTAGACTTAAGAAAAACATGTTCCAATTCAACTACAGCTTTCAGAACAAGCATGTTCCGAATAACAACCGGATTGCTCTGGAACAGCATGTTCCCAACAATACAGCTATAACTTAAGAACAACCATGTTCCCAATAATGACCAGGTAGCTTAAGAACAAGCATATTTCCAATACGACTAGACAGCTTAAGAACAAGCATGTTCCCAATAAAGATCCGGTAGCTTAAGAACAAGTATATTTCCAATACGACTAGAGTGTTCCCGATATAACTTAAGAACAAGCATGTTCTCAATAACAACCAAGCTTAAGAACAAGCATGTTTCCCATGTTTCCAAACAGAACAAGCGTGTCTGATACAGGAACAGAATCAACGCTGAACTGACGGCTGCATCCGAAACTGGAAAACCACATTTCAAGGTAGGAAGGCATCGAGACACGTCAAATCCAAAGTTAGCTTCATTTCCTGCCTCCTGAGATATCTCATCTGGTCGATATTTAAAGGCAGAATAGATATCCTTGGAAAATGCTGCCTTCGGAGGACACAGAGGACACATGGAAGTCATCGAGACATGTCGAATCCAAAATTAGCTTCAATTCCTGCCTCCTGAGATACCTGAGATACCCGATATTAAAAGGCAGAATAGATGTATCCTTTGCTGCCTTGATACCCACAATCCTGTGTGTTCTATCCTGTGATGGTTGATCTGTTACGGGGCTGACGAGACGTGAGACGTGCGGATCCATGTGCAAGCTTTATTTAAAGCAGAGAGGTCAGAAACACAGGCAGGGTCGAACAATGGCAAACAGGTATATGGC